AGCCTAGCCCTGCCCCCCCCCCAGCTCTGCTGGTGCCCCTCACTCCTGACCTGTAGCCCCCTGCTAGCCCAGCCCTGCCCCCCCCCAGCTCTGCTGGTGCCCCTCACTCCTGACCTGCAGCCCCCCCACTCATCCCCTGTATGAGCCAATCCCAGCTGCACCAGTTCTATTCTCTCGTTCCCTCGTTCCAGTCCAGACCCGATTCTCCTATTCCGGGGAGTTTGGCTCAGCTGCGGGGACCTCGTTCTCTTATTCCGGAGACCACTTCTGGGGCCCCATCACGGCCTTCCGGGTCTGGGAACACCCCAGCACCTACATCAAAGCGTGAGTCCCGGGCCTGGGGGATCAGAGGGCGGCGGGAGGCACAGGGGGATATGGAGGAGAGGGGGGAGGTCTGGGATTCGGGGAGCAGAGCGGGGGGATGGGGAATCAGAGGCAGACACAAGGGATGGAGGAACAGAAGGGGGGCTCAGTGGACAGGGAAAGGGATGGGGGGTTTTGGGGTTCTACCCAGATTTTGAGGGGGGGCTGATTGTACCCTCTCATCTCCCCCCAGCCTCCAGTTCCAATTTGCTGGCACATGGAGCAAAACTTATGGCTATGAGGAAGGCAAACATCACGAGGTGACCCTGTTCCATGGAGAGGAAATCACACAGATCTCCGGGAAACACTCCACCTACATCTACCAGCTCATCTTCTTCACCAACTACGGACGCACCTTCTTCTTCGGCCAGCCGGCCGGGGAGAGCTTCAACGCCGTCCCCCTGGAGCAGGGCAACGTCCTGGCCTTCATCAGCGGCCACCACAATGGGGCGGGCATCACGGGCATCGGGATGCACTGGGATCAGTCCACCTTGCCGGCGTTAAAATCCTATGCCCAGATCCCAGAGATGGGGAATTCCTCTGGCTAATGGAGCCCATCCATTCCAGCAAAATCCTGTAGCAGAGCGTTCCCCTCGTTAACATACCTCAGCCTGCGACTCTCCACGTGGCACCGTGGAGCCATTCACTGGCTGTGATCAGTGGCTGATTAATTAGAGCCAGATTGCTTGATTTACTGATGCGCTCATTAAAATAATAAAGCATCAATCTCTGCTCTCCATTTTCATCCAGAACACGAGGTCTCTGCTTACATTTGGGTTTGGCCTGGGGGCTGTTTCTACCTGGATCCCTGCCCCAGCACAGGGATGCAGCCACCTCTGGGGCGAAGCACGGGGGCAGTTTAGCCAGGTACGCCTTGCGCGGTGCTCAGATGTGGCCACCTCTGGGGCGAAGCACGGGGGCTGTTTAGCCAGGGACGCCTGGTGCAGTGCTCAGATGTGGCCACCTCTGGGGCGGAGCACGGGGGCTGTTTAGCCAGGTACGCCTTGCGCGGTGCTCAGATGTGGCCACCTCTGGGGCGAAGCACAGGGGCTGTTTAGCCAGGTACGCCTTGTGCAGTGCTCAGATGTGGCCACCTCTGGGGCGGAGCGCGGGGGCTGTTTATACCTGGGCGCTGAGCTCAAGTCGAGCTTAATCTTTGTAAACAAAGGCAGGTCTGGGAGTCTGAACACGCTTATTTAGTGCAATGAGAACGTCATCAGGGAAATGTCTCGAGGAGCCAGGTGCGAAATCTTCCCCTGGAGGGGTATTAAGGGCAATCTCCGCCCTGCGTCATGTGCAACGATCTGGAAACAGGAATATTTCGCCCGGGGCCCGGCTTCTCCCCAGCTTCCAAGCACACACTGGCCGGCCCAGTCTCCCGTACACAGGTGTATTGCCCAGACGTAAGCAAAACAAACACAACTGGTTCCACAACTCACCCTTCACAGCCGGCTCCGCTCTCCGCTGGCTCTGGGTCCCAAGTCCAGGGCAACCTTCTGACCACCTGGCCCCTTCTCCAGGGCCCCACCTCATGTCCTCAATCACCCCTCGTCTCCTCCTCGTCTTGTGTTTTCGGCGTCTCTGGCCGCCAAGCACCGCGCACCGCAGCTAATTCAACAATTCAAATCCGTCTCCTTTCCGGGTACTTACAAAGAATGGCGTTGTCGCTTTTCGTTTCAAGAGGGTCCCGTTTTCCTGACGCTCTCACTAGGATCGCAGCGAAAAGTCGAACCCTTTAACACCTCTATGGTTTCCATAGCAATACCCCCTTGGGGCGGTTCCTGGGCATATCTCATGGAACCTTTTCCCTCGATTTCCTGCCATTCCTCCATGAGCTCCTTCTTAATTTGCTTCAAACTCCACTTGAAGGGATCTCTCCGAATCAACGTGCTCGTGGCTGACAGCTGCCGGCTCCTTGTTCGCTGCCCCCCAGGCCCCGGGATGCCGGCTGTTCATATCATTCCCCAGCGGTGCCCATTAGCTGACAGCAATGTTCATTAAGCAGATCGTCCCTGGTACCAGGAGAGCCTCGAGCGCGTTCCTCTGACTTACGTGAGGCATTCGGAGCTTTTGCCTCGAACATCAACAACTTCATTCCCAGCATTCGGCGTGTATCAGTTCAGTGTCTGTCGTTCATGCTGAGCCGGGAGGAGTGGGAGAGACGCGGAGGGCAGGACTTCTGGCTGCAGCCTCCTACATAGGGCCGGCGGCGGCCGCTTCCCCCACCAGCCGGTTAGCTGCTTTCCCTGCCACAGGCCTCCCCAGGGCTGGCTCGAAACCAGGGTGACCATATTTCAACACTGAAAAAAGAGGACGCTCCACGGGAGCCCTGGCCCTGCCCCAACTCCGCCCCTTCCCCACCCCGGCCCAGCCCCAACTCCGTCCCTTCCCCACCCCGGCCCCGCCCCTTCCCCGCCCCCATTCCAACCCCTTCCCCAAAGTCCCTGCCCCAACTCCGCCCCTTCC